CGCTCCAAAGTACAAAAAGGCGGAATAAACATGCAGGTATATACTAATGTACATGGGCATATAAAAGAACATAGTGTTCATTTATAATGAACATGGACATATACATTAAAGAACATAGTGTTCATTTATAATGTAAATCAGATTTTTGTGCAACAATTTTGTATATTATTTTTGTATAATAATATAATTATTTATTTTGTATAATGAAATAGATAAATAGTACTATAATTATTTTTTTTACCATACATTAATTACAATCATTTCAATTTTTTTTTTAACCAAAAGTTCATTTTTTCTCTCCAAACAAAACTTCAAATCCATTTAAATTCCTCAAACCTCAAGCAAAATTTCAAGAAATTCGAAATTTTGAGTCCAAAATTGTTCAACATGACAAATAAAAACGAAAGGTAAGACCAAATTCGACATTCATACTTGTTTATTTGACATTCATACTTGTTTATTTTAAGTTTGAGTGTTTGTTTTTTTATAAATTTGATTGAAAATTGTAATATTTGATTTTATTGGGAATTATTGCGATTTTGATGTTATTTTGTTGTTGCAATGAGAAATATAATGAAGTTCTTGAAGAAGATCGTCCGATTAATCCATTTTTGAAGAAGAAAGTAAGCAAATAGACAATTTTAGAAAAAGTTGTAGATTCAAATAATACAATGTACATTAAAATACAGTAAAATGTTCTTTTTTCATATACTTACATGATGCAAATAATACAATGTACATTAAATATGTAACCAATATTATAACATATATGTTCATTAGAATATAATACAATGTACATTATAATACAATAAAATGTACTTTTTTATATGCATACATGGTCATTTATACCAAATGTACATTTACTATATGAATAATGTTATTTAATATTATCACGTTCTTTACTAATATTACAAATGTTCTTTAGATTTACAAAAAAAAAAAAAACATATAAAACTAGATGTTCTTTATAAAATAGCTATATATATGTTCTTTATAAAATAGCTATATGTTCTTTATAAAACAACTATATGTTATTTACTGAACAACTAAATGTTCATTCCGCCTTTTTTTTTTTTAAAGAAAACCGGATGCACCAAGCATGGTCCATCCGCCTCCACAAAAAAAATTGCTTCGAAAAACTTTCTCTCTTCACTTATAATTGCAACGATTTGTCTACCTCAAATAATGATTTCTTAGCTTAACTTGGTAGTTTCCAATTATAAAATGATACGTCGAGATTTATTTATTATTTTTTAATTTTTTTTAATGGGAAGAAGAAGGTCTATCCTAGGGGGATTGAAAGAGAAATCCCTCCTAAAATGTGCCTTATGAGATTCGATCCTTAACTTTACGCCTGAGTGACAGAAAACTAGCCAATTACTCTAGCCTCTAATGGACCTCAAGTCCTCAATCAAATATGTACAAGAACATATACTTACCATTAAAAGGAGATCACATACACATTGCTAAATAAAATAAATCAAATCAATGGACCATTATATAAATCAAATCAATGAACATATGTGCAACCTTATTCAACTCTACAAACTTAGGTTTGTTCGTTATCATTTTTGTTTTAGCTTTTTGTTTTTATAGAACAAATAATTATAATAAGAAAATGCGGTTTTACAATAAAACTAAAAACTACAATAATGTCAAATGGGCTCTTAGTTAATTACTTAGTTAATTGATGTATTAATTAGCCAATTTTATCTAGCTATTTTACAAATGATACTACATTCTCATTTAACCAAGTATACAAGTTACTCCGTAAGAAGTTACATTAAGTGATTGAGTAATTAGTGAAAAATTTATAATATTTCGCTAAAATATTTAAAACTAATAACTTCTTTAGACCTAAAATTATTTCTTTTTCTTTTATAAGTTTTTTTTTTTTTTCATTTCCTTTTTCCTTTTTCCTCTTTATGTTTTATTTTTTCTTCTTATGCCTTATTAGTCTATAACTCTATAGATACCTAGCTTGATTGAGCTTCATTTAGTGAAAATTAAGAGGATATATTAGGGAGAATCACCCTCCACAATTAGATATCAAATGAAAACACTACAAGGTTTAAGAGGAAAAAACAAGGGGTAGATATAGCATCAACTATGGAATATACAACGATGAATAGAAGATTGAAAAACTTTAATCATACAAGGGGTAGATATAACCTCAATACGCATTTCTTACTCTCTCTTATCTACTGTTGCTTGAATTATATATTTTTTATTTTCAAGTTGTTATATTGCTTTTTATTTATTTATTTTTTCAAAGAGTTGCTTTTTCTTTACCTTGTTGATGTTAAAGTAGTGATAATTTCTTTTTATTAGTTTGCAACTTCAATTCTTTATTTTTCCTAATTTCTTGTTTAGAGGGCATATTATTATTAGGGTCGTCTATTTGGATTTCCATTCAAATTTAGGCCAAATACAATCTAATCCGATCTGATACGAATTTAATCATATTAAAAAAAAGGCCAAAATCCATTTTGATTCAATAAAAATTGGATTTTGGTGGTTTAATTCAATCTAATCGACTTAAATAAATATAAAATACTTTAAGTTTTAATTAAAAATTTGTGAATTATAATTTTTAATTGAATAACTATAAAAAATTATAACTAAGTGATTAAACCGTAGTTTTCATAATTCTTGATATACTACCGATAATAAAGATTGCTATCACGTTGGAATTATTTCCAAACATTATATTAAAGCAATCGTATTGTAGATGATTCATTAAAAATTAAAAATTAAACCGTAGTTTTCATAATGCTTGATATACTACCTATAATAAAGATTGCTATCACGTTGGGATTATTTCCAAACATTATATTACAGAAATCGTATCGTAGGTAATTCATTTGTATTAATAACCTCTAATATAAAATCATGTATATTTAGAAAATAAAATAATTGAGAAAATTAATTACTGTTTAAAAAGATTTCGCCACAGTAAAATATCAAAATCATGGGTCAATGAACCCAGAACCCAAAATGACCGGATTAAATCAATTTGAATGAACCCAAAATGACCGGATTAAATTCATTTTTTGGTTTTATATATTTAAATTAGGATAATTTGCAAATTACCACCCAAAAATAGTATCAATTTCTAAATAACCACCCAATTAAAATTTTATTTTAAATTACCACCCATTAAATTAAAAAAACGCTCAGATTACCACCCATTTTGTTTCTCACTCTCTCTCCCCGATTTCACTCTTCTTCTTCCTTTCTTCTTCCTAACCCTCACCCCCACCATTGCTCCATCACAAAAATCTTCTAATGATGCTGATTCCTTAACCTTAATACAATTTCTCCTTCAATTCGATCTTCTGGCAATGAGTTCCCTGCAATTTCTCCCCTGCCATCACTCCCCAACCAATAACAACAGCACCACCACCGCTGCACCCCAACTGCCGCCCACCCAGCCACCATCAGTGAACTCCTTCAGCAACCGCATTTGTGCAGCCACCTTTAGCAGCCCACACGCACCCAATTGTAGCAACATCAGCCCGCAACCACCGTACCCCACCTCTTCAACATCGCTTCACCAATCTCACCCAATTCGTCGCCAATTAAACCAATTTCAGCCACCAATACAACACCGATTTCAGCTCCAATCACCAACAACAACCACCTTCAGCAGCCCACACGCACCCAATTGCAGCAGCATCAGCCCGCAACCACCGTACCCTACCTCTTCAACATCGCTTCACCAATCTCACCCAATTCGTCGCCAATTAAACCTATTTCAACCACCAATTGGTTCAATTTCACCCCCGACAACACCGATTTCAGCTCCAATTGCAACATTCGACCATTAATTTATGCCCAATTTTGAAACCCAGATGTGCGTTCACCACGAGTTGTTAATTATTGGGTGGTAATTTATTGGGTGGCTGAACTGGTGGTTGTTTGTTGATGTTGTTGTTGTGGGTTGTTGTTGACAGACGCGACGGGGGAGAAGGAGGGGAAAGGTGGAGCAATGGTGGTGGTGGTGGTTGGGAAGAAGAAAGAAAGTAGGAAGAAGTTGAGTGAAAAAAAAATCGGGGAAAGAGATGAGAAAGCCAGAAAATTGAAGAAAAAAAAGGAAAAAAAAATTAAAAAAGTGGGGTCCACTGACGGAAATTCCACCGAAAAATCTAAATGGGTGGTAATCTGCGCATTTTTTTAATTTAATGGGTGGTAATTTAAAATAAAATATTTTTTGGGTGGTTATATCAAAAGTGGACTATTTTTTGGGTGGTAATTTACAAAAAAACCTTTAAATTATAAGGTAATTCTACTCGTGTTAAGTATGACTACAGAGCAAGTACTTACGTGTATTGTACTAGCTTAGGTAGAGTTCAGCGTGGGCTAGGCTAGCACAAAAGCTAGTTAGACTCAACACCAAATGGATTGACCACACAACACGACAACCACTGTAATTTTGTATCCAAAAGCATACCCATTTCTTTTAATTATTCAACCCCACAACCCCCCATCAAATTGTAAATCATGGATCTTTTATAATTACTTGGCACATCAACATACAACAATAATAGTGATGCATATATAGTGTACAATTTTTCTTTGCCCTACGATTTCTCATCGAATTTTAAATGTCGAGGTCGTAGGAAAATTGTTGGAGGGTAAAGCAATTTCGACTTTTTTTTTTTTGACAAGCAATTTCGACCTTAATTGGCTTAATTTTGTGTAATTAACGTAGACAAGTGATTAAAAAAATATAAATATTTCATCACACAATTATTGATAGCTAATTAAACAACATGCTTAATCATCATCATTTTTTTTTTTTTTGACAAAATTCTATTACAACCTAATCCCACCAAGGAAAAACAGAGACACGAAATGAAACTTTCAACCCATAAGGTTGAAATGTATATAAGTACCACTAATATATAGCTCATTACAAGCCCTGTGTCTACTATGATCTACTCTTACGATAAATTAAAAATGTAGGGATCGGATATTAAAATAGTAAAAACTTTTTATTTTTATTTTTTTAAACCAACAGCAAAAACAAATTTGGATAAATGGAAATTCTTTTTTCTTTATAAAACTGCATTGTAAGGGTAATACGTCATCATGCTTCATCAAATCCACCAATACCCATGTTGTTGACCCATTCCAGAATGTTGTATTCACCATCATTGTCTTCAACGTTGTGGTGGTGGTTGTCGTCGTCGTCTACCTCCGGCTGTGGTGGTGGTGGTGGTGGTGGCCGACGTTCAACGAATCACCAAGGACGGGCCCTGCGGTTGCAGGGTAAAAGTTGATAACATGATTCATTGGCATAGTGTTCGAGGATATTGTCGATGGCGTCAAAGAACTTGACGAGTTAACGTCATTTTGACGTCTAAAGTGGCGCATGTTCCCATTGTTACGAAAAACAACAGTTGGTGGAACAACCAGTGACAAGGGAATTATTGAGAGCGGCTGCTGCTGATGACTTGTAGAAGCCGTGTTTGTAGCCGAGACAGCCACAGACTCAACCCTAGAGCGCTTGCTCTGTCGTCTTTTACCACCCACAGGAACGTCACGCAAGGTTCCACCTTGCGTCCAGTGTCTTTTGCAGTCCTTACAGTACTGTCGGGGTTGTGACAAGCTATAGTTACTATAATAACAAAACTTGGTGTTGGTTGAATGACATCGAGGGCAAGTTAGGTTTGGTGTGTGCTTGCTATTATTTTGTCTACCGCCCTCCTTCGGGAACGGCCTCTTGTTCCGGTCATCCTTTCCGTCTCCTCCAGCACCAGCACCAGCACCGCCACAACCACCAACAACAACAGTCTGGTATTCCATTTTTTTAGAGAGTGTTTTTTTTGGAAGTTGATTATTGAAATGATGCAAGTAATACTCTAGCTACGTAGAGTAGTACCAGGTATTAGAAGCAGGTAAGCAAAAGAGAGAGAGATAAAAAAAAAAAATGTAACAAAGATACCTTATATTTATAGCAGAAAAGTTCCTAGGAAGATCTTCTCAAAAAATCATCTTAGAATGAAAATCAACCTGATTATAGTATGTGATCATCTATAGAAGTAAAGAGATAAAATCAGAATCATGAAAAAATAGAAAGGTTTACATATATTAGGCTGGATAATTGCCTCATTTATCTTTAAGATATTAAAAAAAAAAAAAAATTGAAAAATATGAAACAAATTGTTATTTTGTAGGGAAAATCAGGAGCAAATCACCCCCAAAAACTAAAAAAAATAATTGAGGTCTGATCATAGGATATAACAAAAATAAGGAAGCAATCAGAAAAGATATTGGATTAAAAAATAATTATTTAAAATAATTATTAATAAAAATAAATAAAAAATGAAATAACAAAAGGATAAGGGTTGGTTTAGCCGTGGCTGAAACACCACGATTGAGGCGGCGAGTGGTGGTGGTGGTGGTGGTTTTTCAAGTGGTTTTTAATTATAATTTTTCAAGGTTTGTTGAAGTGAAATTATTTTTACTAATTTTCTATTATAATTCATCTTTAAGAAAAATGAATTTTACTAAACTGAAATTATGTTTACTAAATTGAAATTATTTTTATTGAACGTATTTTTACTGAAATGAAATTATTTTTTACTTAATATTATTTTTTTAAGGTGAAGTGAACAGGACCTTAGTCTATGTGAGAAAGTATTGTTGGGTTTGCTTTTAGCTTCTTTTTATAATTTTCTCACTTAACGTTATTTTATAATTTATTTTATTTTATTTAAAATAATTGTGTGTTTGAGGTTTCTGTTCTTCTATTATTTTGGATTGTTATGGATTTTGTTAAGTGACATCATTCCACTGACTTATGAAATGCCAATTCTTTTCTTTGACGCCCAACTACTAACCTCTTACAATGGAATTGAAAACAATGAATTATGTACTCGTTTTTGTATGGAATTATTGTTCAATCTACTCGGATATGTCCCATAATATAGTGTTCTAATTTTATTATGTAAACTATGATGGATTTTAATTAATTTATGATGTTGTGCGGAATTTTGTTAGATTTGTCACGATATATGTTATTAATTTTTCAAGTTATGATGACATTAATGAGTTAGTAGTTAGTAAAATAATAAGCTGAAGAATTAGGGTTTGGTCTAGTGTCTACTAATATTTCTAGTCTACTTTGAATTGATAAGACTTTCTAATTTGGTCAAATTTGAATTGAACTAATGTGGGATAATTGATTGTTAAGTCTAATAATTCATTCTTTACCTCAATTATTGATCTTAATGTATGCTATGTGTCCATAAAATTAGAAGAAAATTACGATAAATTGAATTATATTAAGATAAAAAAATCATAATTTTTAAATTACGGAAATCAAAGTAAGGGTATTATAGGTTTTCGATTTAAGGAGACATTAAACTACTCAAGAATTGGCAAATAATTAAAGATCATGTAATTATTTGACTTTTACGCTTGTCAATACTTAACTTTGACCATTAACATATATATATATATGTATATATGTATATATATATATATGTATATATGTATATGTATATGTATATATGTATATGTATATACACACATATATATATACACACACATATATATGTGGACCAATTAGAAACCAGTAAGTGGCTTAGTTTTAGGTTAGCACGTGGCATCCAGCTTAGGCCAAGTGGCCTATAAGAGACTGACACATGACACTCAATAATTGCAGAAATGATGAAAGGCTCGAAAGCTATGACAACGAGGTAACCTCGTAAAATGGCACAAACCCTAACGCGTGTCATGCACATATTGTAACCAATCGAAGCACGAATTTTTAGGTTACGAAACCTAGGGTCACAGCATCACGCATTCCTAGAATAGTATAAATAACCCTTATAATACAACATGTTATATTATATGCATAGAAATAACCATTAGTTTCTTATATATATATTTTTTTATCTTCTTCATGGGCGTTTATGGCAACCCCAATTGATTAAATATCCTAAACTTAACAATTTTTAGCACGTACATTTGAGACTAGTTCTCTTCAACTTATTTCAATAATATATTATTTAGGGTATTCTAAAATGGGTACGGATCGAAAAAATGGACCAGACGAAATTAATTGGTCCGATATCCTGGTCAAGAAATTTATTTTTTCGATCTTTGGTTTGATCCGGACCAAAACCTTATAAAAATTGGTCTTAGACAGGACCGATTTTATTCTTTAAATAATACATAAAACCTTTAATAAAGATTAAAATTATCCTTAATAAGCTAGGAAAACTTTAGTCGTATGAGCTTTTTTGTACTAAACATACAAAAACAAGACGTTAGAATATTATTTTTCCTTTTTTTTTCCAGTTTTCCATAAATTGTTTAAAACTTAGATTTTTTTATAAAAACCCCAAAAATCTTGACGTCGTTTTTTTGTATGTTTAGCACAAAAAATCTCATACGACTAATTTTTTTCAAGCTTATTAAGGATAATTTTAATCATTATTTAAAGTTTTATGTTTAGTTTTAAGAAAAAACCGGTCTGATCGTAGACCGGTTTTTATAGGGTTTTGGACCGGACCGAAAAAATAAATTTCTCGACTCGAAGATCGGATCAATTAGTTTGGTTCGGTCCGGACCAAATTTTGAACACCCCCTAGCTAGGGGTACAACTGGTGTACAAAAAAATCGTGTACACCAAGCTCCCTATTGATTATAAGGGAATTTTTTTTAAGTGGATCTTTTCAATCATTTTCCTTTTATCATGGTTGATTTGGCAACATTTCATTGGCGATGTACAAGAGAATTTTGTACACCAAAATACCCCTATCCTTAGGGAAAGTTCTTATATATCATCAACTAAGGGCGTGTTCAGAAAAATATAGCAGTGAATGTAGTTGTTAGCTGTGAATGTAGTTGTTAGCTGTGTAGGTAGCTGTTACTCATATTAGCTGTCGACAAATTGTTAGCTGTAAAGATAGATAATTTAGGTATGAGTGTTCGGTAAACTAACGGTTGACTAGTTATTACTTTAAAATCAATATTTTATTTTAAAAACTATAGATTAAATTTTCAACAGCTACTCTTCAAAAGCTACCTTTAATTTCAAAAGCTAATATTTCTTATTTTTCATAAAAAATACTTCCACCACTAAAAGCTATCCTAATTAACCACTACTATGCCAAATACTCATATTTTTTTTGTTAAGTAGTGGTTACCACTAAAAGCTACCTAAAAGGTACTTAAAAGCTAGTGCCAAACACGCCCTAAAAAGAAAACTATGATAACCCAAACATTAATTTCAATGGGCGTGTTCAGCAAAATATAGCTGTTATGGTAGTTGTAGCTGTGGAGGTAATTGTTAGCTGTGTAGGTAGCTGTTAATTGTCTATAATCTGTTAGCTGTGAAGATAAATAATTTAGATATGAGTGTTCGGTAAAGTAGTAATTGACTGGTTGTTACATATAAAAATCAATATTTTATTTTAAAACTATAGATTAAAATTTTCAACAGCTACATGAAAAGGTATCTCTAATTTCAAAGGCTAATCTTTTTAACTTTTCATAAAAGCTACCTATACCACTAAAAGCTACCCTAACTATTACTTCGCCAAACACTCACATTTTTTGTTAAGTAGTGGTTTGACTTGGCAAAACCATTAAAAGCTACTCAAAAACTTGCACCGAACACGCCCAATGTCTAACATACAGAAGGCTAGTATTGTGAAGAGTTGTTGCTTCCACAATTAAAAGGGAGGAAGCAAGCACTAATGTTAATATGTTTTGGTCATGTTACGAAAAGTTGTCCGAAACTGAAAAGATCGATTCTCCCAAAATTTTGAGTAGTAGTTCTCTTGAACTTCTCTTTTCTCCAATATCTATTTTTCTTCTTGACTGTAATTTTATCCCACATTTAAGAAATCTCAACCTTTTGTGCGTCTCATCCTTGCGCAGGGGCCATGCGAAATCTCAACCTTAATTTTGTGTAATTAACGTACTTAAGCAAGACAAGTGATTAAAGGATATAAAAATTTCAACACAATTATTGATAGCTAATTAAACAACATTCTTAATCATCATTCATTTTTGGGGCAAAATTCTATTATTCCACCAAGGAAAAAAAGAGACGCACAATGAAAACTTTCAACTCATAAGGTTGAACGGTATATAAGTACCGCTAATATATAGCTCATTACGAGCTGTATGTTTACTATAATCTACTCTTACGATAATTAAAAATATAGGGATAATAAAACAGCAAAAAACAACTTTAGATAATTATTTATTTTTTATTTTCTTCATAAAAATATGCATTGTAAGGGTAGTACGTCATCATGCTTCATAAAACCCACCGGTACCCATGTTATTGACCCATTCGAGAATGTTGTGTTCATCATTATTGATCTCATGGTGGTTGTTGTTGTCGTCGTCTACCCCCGGCTGTGGTGGTAGCAGAGGAGGAACGTCGTGACCGACGTTCAACGAATCACCAAGGACGGGCCCTGCGGTTGCAGGGTAAAAGCTCATAGCATCGAACCTGCGTAACAATTCATTGTTACGCATAATGTTCGATAATACTATCGATGGCGTCAAAGAACTTGACGAGTTAACGTCATTTTGACGTCTAAAGTGCCGCATGTTCCCATTGTTACGAAAAACAACAGTAGATCGGGGCACTAAGATTGGCTGCGGCGGTAGCGAAGCCGGTCGCTGGCGACGTCTTCTAGATGCCCTGTGTGTGGCCGAGACAGCCACAGACTGAGGCCTAGAGCAAGAGCGCCTGCTCTGTCGCCTTTTACCACCCACAGGAACGTTATTACGCAAGGTTCCACCTCGCGTCCAGAATCTTTTGCAGCTCTTACAGTAGTGTCGGGGCTGTGACAAGCTATAGTTATTAAAATAACAAAACTTGGTGTTGGTTGAATGACATCGAGGGCAAGCTAGCTTTGGTGAGTGGTTGACGTTATTCAGTCTACCACCCTCCTTCGGAAACGGCCTCTTGTTCCTGTCATCCTTTCCGTCTCCTCCAGCACCAGCACCAGCACCAGCACCAGCACCGCCACAACCACCACCAACAACAACAGTCTGGTATTCCATTTTTTCTGAGAGTGTTTTTTTTTTTTTTTTTTTTGGAAGAGGATTATTGAAATGATGCAAGTAATACTCTAGTTATGTAGAGTATTACTACCTGGTATTAGAAGCAGGTAAGTAAAAAAAGAGATAAAAAAAATGTAACAGAGATACCTTATATTTATAGCAGAAAAGTTCCTTGGAAGATCTTCTCAAAAAATCATCTTAGAATGAAAATCAACCTGATTATAGTATGTGATCATCTATATAAGTAAAGAAATAAAATCAGAATCATGAAAAATAGAAAGGTTTATCTTTAAGATATTTAA